ATAAAAGTGTTATATGTGACAACATCAGGTGTTACAAACATCCTTTTTTCAAACTATCCAACATCCTGGCAGCCTCAGTAAGCATACCTTTTCTACAAAGGCCTTGAATGAATATATTGAACGTGAACAAATTTGGGGACACCCCCCGCTTGAAAACCTTGTTGAGAAGTCTTTCACTTTCTTGGACATCCCCATTCTTACAAAGAGTGTGTATAAGCTTATTAAATGTGATATTATTAGGCAAGAATCCTAGTCTGAGCATCTCAACAAACAATTCATATGCCTCACCTGGATTATTCTCTTCATAAAATCCCCTGATCACTGCACAATAGGCAACTGCATTATACTCACATCCTTGGGCTGGCATGTTGTTGAGAAGCCTCAGGGCAGCATGCGGTCTCCTCATCCTACAAAACGACTTTATCCTAATTGTGAAGGTATATACATCAGGAAGAATCCCTCTATCTCTCATTCTCATGTACACTTTGTGTGCTTGATCAAAATACTTATGCTCAACCAATATATTCATAATTGCATTATAAGATTGCACTGACGGCTCACAATTGTAAAAATCCATTCTCTCAAACACATTAACAGCGTCTTGAATCTTCCCTTTCCTACCATAATTTCTAATGGCACTAGTATACACTCCTTCCAACAAGCCATTATCCATATTCATCCTCATCTCCGCAATCATACCTTCCATGGCTTCAAATTCCCCATGATAACCAAGCTTTTCAACCATACATTTATAAGTTAACAAATTATGCTTAAACCCATCTTCTTTTTTAACTGAATTGAACATTTCTAGTGCCCTTAGTGGGTCTTTTTGGTGTTTTACAACAGCAGCTACATGCTTAGGAAGTACAGCAGAATTCATTCCAAAACTACAATTCTAATCAATATTTTCACGTAACCCCATCACTCCCATTTTAATCCTACGCTGATTATAACCTTCATCTTTTCACTTGCTTCAATAACCCCTTCACTTGCTTCAATAACCCCATAGCCTACAACCAGAGAACAACCTAATCAGCAGACAATTAACACAACACAACCATGAATATATACATTTATCAAAATCTTTCTTACATGAAATTGGAGTGAGTGACGTTGCCGCAGGTTGTTGTCAGGGCTAGATAATGGAGGGATTGTAGAGACAAGGGCAGGTTCTCTGAGGTATATAGCCTTTAACCTGTTATAAGTCAATAAGATCCAACCACATCAGCATGATAAAAATTTGTCCAAATAATCAAATGCTTCAATTTTATTTCTTTTTGCCATAAAATCCTTCCTTTTTTAATTTTCACCTTTCACCAAAATTATTTTTCAGATTTTTCAAAATTACCCTTGACCTAATAATATTATAAAAATATAAAATTTGTCTTTTATATTTTCAATTACTCTCAAAAAAACTTTAATTCTTGTATGGTACTAATTATACACATGATTTTTCTAACTAAATTATTTTCATCTATTACACTATTTAGTGCACACGTGCGTTGCACGTGAGTCATTTGAGGATAAAATATTGTATATTGAATCCGTGAATAGCGGTGTTAATCGAGCCACGCTTTGCGACCTTGAATCTGAGCCTAGCGAGCTTATTTTTCTGAACGAGCCTAAAAAATTGTTCAAGTTCGGCTCGTTTAGAACTTAAACCGAGTCGAACCCGAGCTGAGTTTTGTGAACTTGAGCTAGTATTTTAGGCCCATTTTGCTAAACGAGCCTAAAAAATTGCTCAACCTCAGCTCGATTAGAATACGAGTCGAGTTCGAGCCGAGCCCGAATAGCTCATCTCGATTAACACCCCTATTTGTGAACTGTTTTTCCAAAAGTTCAACCCAAGTTAAAATTGATAATTGGCTACTAAATTATGCATCCCACAACGACAACAAAACTAATGCATTCACATCTAAAGCGCTTGTGTTGCACAGTTTCATTATTTTTATTTGAATCATCACAGCAAAAAGAAAATAGTGCCTTTAATTATCTATTCAGTAGCTTGATTGTAATTTCAAAACACATATTTCTTACTTTTTTTATTTTTAGTAATTAAAAAACAAAAATCATAAAAAGAGGATGGGTAGCATGTCAGCTTAAGCTTAAGTAACACGATAATCACAGTGAAGGTTAAAATAATAAAGAAAACATCCATAAAGAAAACTCAAAAAGAAGTCAACATTGAAACAAATACAGCCTAATAAATAGATTTTTATCTTATACATGCTGTAATTTTTTTTTTTCATGTGTCTACTCTCAACACTAAGACCTTACAACACAACCAGCTTGATGACAAATATTAATCCTCTCAACTTCAAACAATCTGTTGGCTTGTTCAACCCCCATAAAGAATTATTGAACCTCATCAGATGCTTAATATCACAAAAAGTGAAAAAATCTATCTATCCTATATATTATTCCAATCAATTTAGGATACAAAGGGCTTGAGAATACTTATTTCCTCATTTTACATTTTCTCTAAGAATTTTTATTTATTCAATTAGAACACAAGACTTAATTCAATCACATTCTACCATATTCCAATGTAACAACCCTTCCACCCCAGTAATTACCTACCACTCATTTATGTTTTTTCTAATAAATCATATCATCGTATTGTTAATTATATTTCTTATCTAGTATTCTAATTGATGAGGTGGAAAAATACAAAAAAATAAAATAAAAATGATCATAAATTTTTGTGGATTGCACAGGCGTTAGTACATCACCAATGAAAATTGAAGTGTACCATGCAGATTTTGAGAATTCAATAGATTCAATAAATACCCAAAATCACATCTATTATAAAAATGTCATCCATTACACTTTATCATTTAACACAATGCTAAATGATTTGATTATATAACCTGAACGATGTTGAAATCACTAGAGTTTATATTGTTGTTACAATAACAAGGATTGCAAGTCATACCACGAGACTATAGATATGCTAAAAAGAACAAGTAACAAAAGAGAACCATATTAAATTTGTCTTCAATATAGAGTCACTCGTTAAACTATCACTAATATTAAAATTTTTATTTCTGTAAAATTTATCAAAATTTTTTTTTTACATAGTATATAGAAAATTTTTATTTGTGTAATATTATTTATTTTCAATAAATAGAAAATTTTATTTCAAAATTCTTAATGAATTATTCCTCAAGTATCCCACTATATGATAGTGGATCTCTAAAGGAAAGCTTGTCAATGTGGCATCTATTTGCCAAGTACATACAAGTGTGTGCACATATCATCCTACTACATTAAATAAATCAACTATACGAGGCTATTTTCACGAATTATCCACCAACTCAGCCTTGTAACCATAACTATCCCAAGAAAAAAAAATCTCGTGTGTTTTTTAACCGCATGTGTATGAAAATAGTCTTAGACAAAGGATGGATATGATTATCTAGATTATCATAGGATAAATCTTGAGCACACAACATTGGATACCTGTATTAAATGTATGTATTAATAATTGTTATGATTAAGAGAAGAAATAAAAAATTTAAGAACTTGTTGGTAGAACTTAAATGTATGTATTAATAATTGTTATGATTAAGAGAAGAAATACAAAAATTCAAGAACTTGTTGGTAGAACTCAAGAGGAGAAAAAATATTTCTACTCAACGACATGTTAAAAGAAATGGCGTGATCTTTAAAAATATGACATATGTGCAGTATGATAGTAGATTATGTTCAAAGAATTAAAATGTAAAGTGAAAGAAACTTATTGGTGAGGTTTTATGGGCAGATAGTTTGTCTATTATTGGGAAGCTTTATGTAGCAATTCCATCCATTTTTTATTACTATTATGGTTGTATGTTAAAAAACTATGATGTTAATTAAATAATACAAGGTCTATAATTATGAATTTTGATTTGCATGCTTCATGCTTGGTCATTTTTTATTTTCTTGACCCTATTACGTTTTATCATGACCTCATGACCTCAAATTTTCTTTTCCTAGTATCTAAAAAAAGCTATTTTCTAGTTATTAGAGTAAAGACAATCAATTTTTAGCGAATCAAGGTAATCAGGCATGCGAGATTTTCATGCCGCAAATGATTAAGTAAAAAATGTGTAAAAGAGCATACCTATTTTCCCATTCCTCCCATACCAATCAGGATTCTTTTTCAAACAATAAACCTATATTTGGAGTAAAAATATGAGAGAATTGATACTAAACCAATATATAAAGAAGAAGAGATTTTTTCTCTAGTGTTAAGTGTAAGGGAAAAAATTATGAAATCCAAACTAAGTCCATATTTGTGAGAAGACAAAGTAGAGAAGTAACCTGGAGACTAAAGAGGGCACATGTTCGGTCTATGTTGTAAAAGCAAAATTTTAATGCACAACTATGAACTTTTTATTACGAGAAATAGTTCAAATAATTTATGCTTGTGTTTCGTATAGAGAGAATAGTTTGAGAGTGAAAATTGTGGTGCAAACTAGAGCGAGAGGAAGATGAGGGTTTTTATAGATAGAGTTTCCGCGATTAATCCTAATAATTTAAGATCGATTCTACTTCTACATGCTAAGATTGATCCTAAAATTGTTATAATAAAATCACAAACATCACATCAAAAACCTTAAAAAGTAATTTTTTTTTTAAATTGACACTAACTTTTCTATTAAAAAAAGATCTTTCAGAAATTATAAATTTTTTTATCATACCTTATTCAATATCGAACTCGAATCCTATAGGCTAATCAAATTTCAATACATTTTATTTCAAATAGGTAGATATCACTGATAAATAATTTGGAGATAGAGGTTAGGAGTCACACAGAGTCCACTTAAGTTCAAATTAAAAATGAGCCTAGTCTAAAAATCTCGGATTGTTGTTATAAAAGAAACGTTTAGCACTACATTACTCTCTTCGGTGGTATACTGAATTTTTTTACGAGTCGTAAATCTTTTCTTAATTTATTTGTAACCATTAATCTTAAAAGTAAAATAAATAATAAAACATAAAAAAAAAACTGTACATTCTGGATGGTCAATGAAAACAAAAAGTGGGAGAAAAACTAGATCTGAAAAGTCGTAAAGGAGAGAAAGAGAGAGAGACAATTAGAGGAATCTGGGGTTGTTGATCGAGAGAGAGACGAAGGGGCTAGACTGTGGGTGTGTGTGAGAGAGAATAGTCTTCACCCCGTATCCACTTCAAAAATATTCATCCATTCTGATCCAGTCCTATTAATGGGGGAAATTCTGTTCCCATCCCCCGAGTAAATTTTAATTCTCATCCCCTTTCTCGTCCTTGTCATCGTCTCCATCAACAATAATTCATTTCTATGATTTTAAGAAAAAAAATAAAACCTCATAAATGGTTATTTAAGACAAATGAAACCCCATTATATACCAAATAGATCACAAAAAAAAAATGGTAAAAAAAAGAGTGTGTGGATGAATGGGGTTTTATGATATTATATATATGTACTAGTAATTATCCAAGTGTCTAAAGGCACTAAATGACAAAAAAAAATGAAAATTATAAATTTGTGCATTAGCAAGAGGTTTGCTTTTCTCTTTTTATTTTAATATGAAGATAAAACAATTCTAATTTAATCGCATAAGAAGCATGCAAAGAAAAATTCAACCATAGCCCTTAAATATATGCACATGCAAAAAGGATAAATACAACTGCTTTTACTTCATAAATATGCTTAAATCTACTTCATGGACAAATAAAACTTCATAAATTTTAAACTGAGGTTAGTCGGTGGTTACAAAGATCACCTATTACATATATTTATTCTCCTGTAATATTACATATGCAGACTAAAGCACGCAAATTATATTTTGAGAATTATTTGGGAATCAACTCATTTAATTTGACTATAAGGCTCATGATTAAGAAAACATAAGACAACCCACTCAAATAGCCCGATGAAAGCGATATATTATCTAATTTTGTTTTCTTTGCTAGTCTATATGCTGATCCCACAAAATAAAAGGGCCATGAATTGCCAAAAAAATCAAAAAAACTGTAACAAAATATGATGGCTGGTTAGCAAGCTCCACACCAATGTCACTGTCCCAAAAAAAAAAAGCTAGCATAATAGAATAAAATAGGCTAAGTAAGTTCTAGTTTGTAGTAGATTTGCAAAATACCCTACAAAATTTATAAGCAATTACATTCTCTTTTATTAAGCAGGATTTGAAGAGAAAAAATTCAATAAAGAATCAGAAGAATCATATCATCAGCACCATAATACAATTGAAAATTCTAGAAAATGTCAACCTTCACATTCAACACAATTCAAAGTTATCAAATTAGCCAAAACAATATGAATTCTTGAACTATTGAGATTGAGAGGTTGGAAAAAAAAAAAAAGAGCAATTGAACTTGGATTACCTCAAATGGCAAGGATTTATGAACTTTCAAACTTTTCTCTCAGTCATCTCAATTTCTATCCCAATGTAAACATGCACATAGACACTTCACAATTTTTTTTTCAAAACATAATTGAACTAAAGATCTCTAATTTTTCCACCTTCAACTTTCCATATCCCTTTAAACTCATAATTCTTTTTTGACCAATTAGAAAATTTTCTTTTTCCAGAAAAAAAAAAAATCAGATTTCTACATCAAAAGAGACAACAAAAAATTGAAAATCTACATATCCAAGTCATTGAATGCTTCAATGACTTAACGCTAATTATTTCAACTAATTCAAATTCTAAGGTCAAAGAACATAGCAATTACCTACAGGACATCATTCCCTTGGGATATTAGAGGCAAATCAGCTCAAAGCCTTCAACCAACTTAAATGTATTCTGCCATCCGGATATGAAAAGTTAATAAATCAGGAAAATCAATGACCATAAATATCAAAAAGCTTGCTCAGTTGTAGCTTTCAAATTCTGCAGAGGTACCCTTTATACATAGATTTAAGGAGTAGGACCAAAACAAAATAGAAAATGTCATTAACTGATGGTCATAGCTATTAGGACCCTTTCTTTATGGATGACAAAATTTAAATAAAATATATAGCTAAAAAATCAACAATAGAAAGTAAGAGAAATTACCTTCCAAGAGCATTGTGTGGCATCCCTGAAGTGTTTATCATGCATTCGTTTGACAAAATTATAGAACATGGTGTCTGCACAAACAAAAAACAAATTTGAGATTTCCATAAGTTTGAATTAATAAATAAATTACTGTAGCAAATACTAAGGTAAAGCCCGCAATATAATTCTTTGAAGAAACAAAACTCATAGAGGCCATAGTCAAGTTCACATATTATTGCACCGTACCAAAAAACACTGTATAGCACAAAAAATAATTTTATTCTACAACATTTAATAAAATTTTCAAGCAATTGTGAGCATGTATCGTAGAAAGTAGACATTCAATAAAAGATCACCCACACACTGCGAGCAAGTACAACAATATTCCATGAGACAAACTGAAATATAAAATTACATAACTATATGAGCTACATGTTCTTTGCATTTTTTTTATTTTCCATAGCACCCATGCTTCTAAAACATGATCATTTACAGATGGCTATAATAGGCACTAAATAGACTTATAAATAAAAATAATAGGAATGCCTCTAGTTATCTTGGTTCGGGTGGTGAAGAGAGCTATAACCAGATGAGCATTTTATAAGTCCGTTTTGTTATGAAAATCACAGGTTCCAAAAGTTTTAAGAGATTGACATTTGAACGCTTGATGAAAAACAAAATTTATATAGTGCATGACACAAACAGAAATTACCCAAATTGATGACAATCCTTCATTCAAGCAAGAACAGTTGATGAGTCCCACTGCCAAAAGAAAGCCCGTGGCTATGCTGGTGTGCAAGAAATATCCACAAAATGCTTATGTGCAGGAAATAGTATTTCTGGAACTACTGGCAACACAATAATTATCTCAAACCCAAAACCAACATACCCACCATTCAACATTAAAAATCTAGTGTTTTTGGGGCATTTTGTCAAACATATTGTGTGCGTAGTGTGTATGTCCTGAACGTGTCGTTCGTTGTGTATGTCCTATGCAGTCAGCGGAGAGAGAGAAATACGGAGTGGGAGAACAGAGAAGCAGCGGTGTAAAGGGGATGGTAAAAAATAGAAAAAAAACTGAGATACCTGGCCAACTTCTGGGTGTTGAGTAGTGGGTGGCGGTGGCTGTCGTTTGACAGGGGTTTTGCTTCGCAGAAGAGAGCAACGATGAAGCTCTAGATGTGAGAGAGAACTGGGCGTGAAAGAGAGTAGTGGGCGACGGTGGATTTGCTTTGCAGAAGAGGACAACGTTAGAGAGCTGGGCATGAGAGATAGGGGGATGAGTTTGGGGTGAATATTGAGTTTGGAAGGCAGGGGTTTCAAGGAATAGAGGAGGTGATCGTAAGAGAGGTGTGAGATTACGGGATTCGGAAGATTTGAGATTGGGAGATAGAGCCAGAAGTGAGATTGAGATGAATTTCGCGAGAGAGATTGAATAATTTATTCTTGAGATTGATTATATAATGGTTTGTGCTAAGCAATTATGCAATTTATATTTGCTAAAGACATGTTAAGATTTTCTTTGGTTCTTATTTTAAAATGAAATTTTGTCGAATTTTTTTAAAAAGATAGCAAGAGTTATATTGATTTCAATTTCTTTACTTTTAGCAAACGAAGAAAAAATTATTTCAAATAATTTTTTTTTAAAGTTGTAAAGTGCTTTTAGGCACAAATTATTACTAGTTTTTTCTATATTTTATAGTGACTGAAAATCATGAATATAGATTTGTTATGGATAACTTGTGTCTGAAGATACGATACAACAGCGTAAGTAAAAAGTGATGGATTGGAGAAAAAAATTCAATGTGAATAGTTTTGAGAGAGATGTTGAATTTGTTTGAGACCGTCAAATATGCTTATTAAAATCTGATTTGTTTTATATTATAAACTAAAAGTAACTAATGCCTAAAAGCACGGTGTAACATAAGTAATAAATAATAGATTTAGGGGAGGAGAAATTTAATGTGAATGGTTTTGAGAAAGATATTGGTAACTGTTGAATAAATTTATTTGAGATCGTCGAATAAACGTATTAAAATTTACTTTATTATAAATTATAGATATAGATTACACTTTTTTTTAAATGTACTTTAATATTACGTCTATTGGGAGTAAGCTTTTGGCTGTGCAAAAAAAGATTCTCCCTCTCTCATTATCACTTAAAAAGTTAAAATCTTCCAAAGATCTGCTGCTGTGATTTTGGAAACTTTTTAAATTGGGCATAGGATAATCTGGGTGTGAGATCATGCAGCAATATTTTTGGACTAATGGCGATTATAGGGCCAGGGCGGCCCAACCACAAGGCCCGAAAGTCTGAACTTTAGCTTCCATATTTCAAGAAGGTCTTAAATTTTTAAAATTTTTAAAAGGTCATCTGGTGGCCGGTTTTTTTTAGTAAACTTATTTGAACTTAAGTACACTCAAAAAAATTATTTGGAGATAAGTTCATTTTGATCTCTATTGTCCAAAATACCCTCGATAGTTATATTTAATCAAATTTTGTTTGAAAAAAATTAACAACTCCTAAATTGAAAATTGTATTAGTATTAACAACTCCTAACTTAAAAATTGTGCTAGTATTAAATTTAATTATTGCAATAGAATAACATTATATGTGATTATTTATTCTATTATGAAATGTCACTCTATTACAATGATTAAATTTTTAATCAATTTTTTATTGAGTATGCTACTGTTTGATATTACTATTTTTTTAAAGTGCATAGTAGTCCAAACCAAAAAAAAATTAGACTCATAAGATTTTAGGTCTAAAAAAAAAACTTTATGGAATTTAATCCCCATAAAAAAAAAGTGAGTAGTTTGGACTCATGAACTCAACCCATAATACATAAAAACAAAAAATTTAGGGAAAAAAAATACTAACGGTCAAAAAAAATTCAAATTGATCAACTAAAACACACTATTCATTTTTAAGCATTCATTATCTCTCTTTCTCTCTCCGTCTCCTACCTATTTGTCCGAAATATAAAATTTAAAAATCACATGTTACAAATTATTTTTGATTTATATTACAAAAATATACTAAATTTTTTTATTTTTTTTAAATTTAAAAATTACAATTAGCAGGCTATAATTGTTTAAAATAAAAAGATTTCTTTAAAATTAAATTTATAAAATATTCTTTAAGATCAACTATCACAAAAAAAAAAAAAAAAAGAATACTATCAATATAAAAAGAATCTTATAAATGTCACTTATCTAGCACTATATTAAAAGAAATTGAAAAGCACGGGTAATGGATAGGATCCAAACCCTAAAAAAATATGATAGCGAAACTTATTAAACATAAAAATTAATAGTACTTTTAATCTCAAAACAATAAAAAGAATATATTTTAAATAAAAATTATTAATATTAAAAATAAAAAGACTCACTTTTAGTCAGGGGTGTTCACCCTACTTTACAGGTGAAAAATATGATCTTCTATCTTCCTACTCGATACTTTATGGAAGAAATTTTTCTTACCTTATATTATATTTTTACTCGAATTCCGTTCAAATTAATCGAGTAAAAAATCAGGTGAACATGTTTTACAGTTATTAATTTTTGAATCATTTTAACAATTTAATTTAGTAATTTATACTAATTTAACAACACAATAAATCAATAACACTAAAACCTAAAACAAATTAAAAATCATATTCTATAATTTAAATTCTTAAAAAATTATATACAAAATCTTAGAAATCATATATAATAAAATCTCAAAAAAATCAAAAATTACATACTATGGATTTAAAGCGAAGAGGGTGAGAGAGACAAGATGAAAAGACAAGACATGTGAGATAAGAGGGTGACAAGGCATTATATACTTAGGGTTTTTAATTTATATATATGCACACAGAGGTAGAGTAGAATAGGAATATAAAAATTTGATAAATATTTCACATTTTTATTTGATTTAATCGAAAGGCAAAAAATTCTTCTACATTGTTACTTAATTTTTTTGGTTAACTGATCAATAAAATTTGATATGATAGAAAATTATGAATAATCAAAAATTTAAACACTCTTAGTTATAGTTGTCACAATTAGGACTAAAATAGCCTTGGACCGTCCCTGCATGGGCATGCAATGTTATTTGGAAATCCGTAATTGGGTGAACAAATTTTATGGGAAGTGTGGCTGATTTTGAAATCTCCTAAAATTTTCAAAACCTCCATAATTTTTTGCATTTCTATGGACGAATACATAAAATTACGGAGTCCGTCTCAAAATCTGTAACTGGTATTTTAGTAGAGTATGGACGAATCTCCTACATACACACAGCGCAGCCGCTGCTTAATTCATTCACTCCTTCCATGTTCATATCCAGTCGTTGCTTACTCTCTCGCTGCTTCTCTCTCTCCGCTGCTCATCCATACGCACAACACACACAGCAAAGAAAAAAAAAATAAAATAGAATGAATATATAAGGAGGTGTTGGTAGCTAATTATTGTTTCTACCATGGGCTTTTTATACAGGTGTAAAGTTTGGGGATGATTAAGAGGATGATGAGTTATGATCTGATTAAGGATCCTACAAAATAAAAGGAAAAATACCCCCCCCCCCCCCAACCCCACCCAAATACACAAAAAAACACACCAACTCTATATTTATAAGAACTCCTCCAATGACATTGCGTTAAATCCACCGCCCCCGAACTGACCCTTGACACTGACTATATACATTATGGCATGGCAATCCTCATCTTTTGTCTGGGCAAGAACTAAATTCATTGAAACTGGGAATTCCCATTTCCTTTCTATGTAGCAAGGATCCTATATGTTGCAGCTTCCATCAAGGACAACAACTGTGCTAGTGTTAAAAGAACCAGAGAACTCTTTAACTACATATGCATATGATTTCAATAGACAGGAAAAGAAGAACATGTCGGAACTTTCATGTAAAACACGGAGTGAGAGCTACAGGAGGAGGTCTAACCTGACTGGATGAGATTCTGAGATGTCACCTCCCATTCTCCAGATACACAATGATTGACTAGCTTACTTTGCTTCCAGTCTGACTTAAGGGTTCTTGTTTACGCGTTGACAGTGCTCTCACTTCCATTCAATCGATCCAGAAGCATAGGAAATCCCTCTTCCGGACTATCTTTTACTAAACTTAATATGACATCCTCCATCAATTCTTCAAGAATGACCTTCCCAATCTCAACACCAGTATGTCCAGTCTCGAATCGGAGGTCTATCCATGTCCTGGATTTTGCCAAGTCTTTTCCGACAAGACGATCCAAAGAACGAGGATGAGGAACCTTCTGGAGAAGATGCCATTCAACTCCTTCCCATACCTCATGGATAAGGTTCATGCTCCTTGGGACTGGCCGAATGCCCTGTTTAAAAGATGATATTCTAGGGAAGCAACCAAAATAGTGCTCACATATTTCCTTCAGCACTTCATTGGTACAATCAAATAGGAGCTTCTGGTCATGACAAGATCGGTTGGAAAATAACTCTACCTCATCAAACAATGATGGGTCAAGAACTTCATCCAAAGAAAGCCACCTCCAGAGAAATTCATCCCAGTTCAAATCGGAACCTAGCAGCACTGCTTCTACATATTCAAATGCAGATTCCTCTTCCTCCATAGAAGTTCTTGCACAGATTCCTTGTTCAGTAGCAGAAGACAACTGTTCTTCAAAATGGATTTGTAGTGGTTGGAGAGCTGATTCAACTGAAAGTTTTAGAATGGCCTTAATTAAGCACAAGAGCAATAGGATCTACAAAAACATTAATTGGACATGAAGATATAATACTCTAGTTACGAAAGCCTACCAGGTCGGACTATGGTGCTTGCAGGGCTGATATCATCATCTACATATAACTGCTCAAGAACTGAGATGGGACTGGGCCGCTCTAATCTATCAATGGTACTTTCAGGACCTTCAATTTTTCTTGTGACTGATGTGCTTGAGGGGGAAACTGACGGAGAAGACAATACCTGAACCTCTTCAAAATCCTGGAAAAGAGAAACAATGTTCTGACACCGTGTGATAGAAACAAGGACAAAATATTACAGCACAAAAACACGGGATAATTGCAACATGGAAAGTGCCTCTATTCACTGGTGGGGGTTTATTCTTCCCAAATGAGATTCGAAACACTTGACTAGGGAAAATATAGCAGTGTAATAGAATCTGCATTAAAAATAAAAGCAACAAAATGGAACCAATTTCAAGCATTGAGATCTTACTTCATCGGATACTTCAGCAGTATCACAATCCTGGACATCTCGGATAACTAACGAG